ATAATATTTGATATTTTTTAAAATGGATTTAGTCGACTTATCTTATGAACCTGATGGCGATTATAAATATATTTGCCACATTAGAGATCATTTTAGTCATTTTTCTTGGGCAAAAGCCCTTACATCAAAAAAGGCTATAGAAGTAGCTACCTACCTCTTTGATTTGTTTCATTCTTTGGGATCATCACCAACAATACTCCAATCTGATAACGGAAAAGAGTTTTGTACTCTAGTGATTAAAGAACTTGTAAAAATGTGGCTATTGGTGAAAATCATCAACAGAAAACCAAGGCACCCCCAATCTCAGAGGTTGGTTGAGTATGCAAATAGTATCCTCCAGCAAAGCTTGGCAAATGGAAGGAGGATACCAAACGAAATGACTGGTCTTTTGGGCTCTGTTTTGTTATTTCTGCTATGAATAATAGCTACTGTTGTTCTTATCAAAAAACTATATAAGTTAGTATATGGCAACAAACCTAAAGAAAATTATATATTAGTAAAAGAAATATTTTCTAAAAATATTATAGATGAGAAAAACATCCCCAATATGATTGAAATACAAAGTATTGATTGCACAGATACTATGAATGACTTTGAGGATATAGTGGAAATACAAGATCAGGAAATATTAAATAGTCAAGAGAGTAAGAAATTTTTTTATTAATTATATTTTAATTCTGTATACTTAGCTTTTTAACTTAATAATAATACAAAAGGTCTTGAAAGTATTCTGATTGATGATGATACAAATACTATAACTACTGGGCACCAAATATTGTGACAATCTGCACGTTGAAATCTTGAAGATTATACTGAGAAAGTGGTAAATTATATATCAAAAGGAAAAAAACAGCCATTAGTATATAAAATTGGGAAATTAGTAAGAGTATCAGTTTCTAAAATTGATAGGTTTGGTGTAGATCGCTCATCTCTTCCGTGCAAAATTATGGAAAAATTGGAAGATGACAAATACCGATTGGGATCAAAGTTTGGTATGATTAATGTTTGTTATCCCACTAGTCAACTTGAGCCTTTGAATGCTGCTGAATTCCCTGAACTTGATATTATCCCATTGGCAAGTATCTCTGTTAGAGAAGCATCACGACTCCAGAGTGTAGGGGCAGCATCAAGTTCAATTGTAAGTGTGAATGCAATAGCAATAGGTGTTGTTGCAAAAAAACTGATAGTAAGTGCACTAGTAGGTGCCATGGAGGGTGCTCATGTGAGAATAAAATTTAAATTCTTGAATGTACGTATCTTATCAAATATTGATTAGCTTGTTAGATAAAATAAAGGTATATAAATACTGTAGATATATTGAAATAGAAAAGATTTACAGTAATAACATGTTCTAATAAAATACAAGAAAAGTGTTACATAATAGTTTTCACTTCGAATCAATTTAGAACAACTATACGTATATCAAATAGTATTTTGTGCAATTTTTTTTTAAAAAAAATTGCGTCAGATAACAGCTGACGTGCGTTAATTAATCTGAGGCATGTCATTTATCGATCGGGATCTGAGGTGTGTCAGCTGTCACCTGATATGCGCGGCGATCTGAGGCACAACATATATACTATATTTATTTTTTATTTATTTTTTGACAGTTTTATTGATGCTACGTGTATAACACCTGTTATATGATTTACATTTACTATTAAAAAGAAAAATAATATATTATATAAAAAAATAATAATTCTTAATACTTGCACTCTAACTCTAAATATATCTAAAGGTGATGATAATCATCATGGGTTATTTTAATTAAATTTTTTAAAAAAAATCAAACTTTTGAAATATTTTTCTTTAAAAAAAAAACTTTTAAAATATGTGTATGCCAAATAGACTTAATTAAGTTTATAAGATAAAAAATAATAATAATAAATCTGTTATTAGATACACCACATTCTAATAACAGCATATCTGGCTTTGAATTTAATGTGTTTAACAATCTGAGCCCCTTTGGGGCCCAGGTAGCACATTAAATTCAAAGCCAAATACTTCCTTTATTTGTGATTATCTCATGATTCTTTGAATTACAGTATTCTCATTTCTTCTGCCAAATAAAACTATTATTGGATAAATAACTATTTAATATAGATTTAATATAAAGTTCTAATTTCAGTTCTTATAATGTTTTTAGGGTTCTGGACATTTTTATTTGGAGAACCTGATCCTGTTTACTTAGTATATTTTTGAGATATAAACACCCTGTAATGATCACTGGTTATAGTTAGATTTATTCTTTTTTTTTTAAAAAAAAAATATATTTTTAAAGTTTAATTTTTTTTAAAAAAAATTTTCTCAAATGTTTGATTTTTTTTAAAAAAAAAAATAATTTGAAGGTTCAATTTTTTTTTTAAAAGAAAAATATTTTGTAAGTTCAATTTTTTTTTAAAAAAAAAAAGAAAAATAGAGATAAATCTTTGTGGTGGCATAATCTAATTTATCTAATTAGAGACAGATTTCATACAACTAATTACAACTAGTAAAAGAAATTAGGGCTCTCCATATTACTCTATTGTTGTGTTGATTTAAAAGCCAGATTGTTACATGTATTTGAGTGTCAGCTTTTTTTTAAAAGCGACGATCAAAAAATTAGGCCGGAATTACTCATAATTTTACTAATGAAATCATAACCGCCCATTAAGTGAAAATTGTTCCTGGGTCAATTTTACCATAATGCGGGCTTATTTTTTAAGAATTTCTATTTTTGTAATAAAAAAATTAAAAAGTTAATTCCGGCCGGAAATTAGTAACCAATTTTGTAATGTGGGCCAAAATTTTGAAGATCCTCGGCCGTTAGCCAATCAAAATCGAGGAACTGTCGTCCAATCTTTGTTGCGGTAGCTATGGTTGATTTTTTTAAAGACATCTAAACTTCGAACGAAGATAACTCAGCACTTACCTGATCAAATTCGATCAGAATTTTTTTATTCTAATATTTCTTAAATTCATAGAACTAAAATAAAAAAAATTGATCGAATTTGATCAGGTAAGTGCTGAGTTATCTTCGTTCAAAGTTTAGATGCCTTAAAAAAAAAGCTGCGGCCAAATTTTTTTTAACATTTAATGAATATTTTTCGACAATTAGCTATTCTAATTCGACGAATTTGGATAGTCGGGTGTCGAGAAAATTTCAAATGAAGAATTCATCCGATTTTCGATATTTTAAGAAGCGGGTCACCCGTGGGTTATCAACGAGTCATCACGAGTTAACCTATAGTAAGTATCTGATCCGGCAAAAAGTATATTATTACAGCTACTATCATAAATTCTGAGAAAATTAACTTAATGATTCTTTAGCTGATTCGGTTATTAATTTCGGTACGATCGATATATAAGATATGTTGTACGTCGAATGAGCAATATATTTTTATGTAAGCATGTAATAATTAATATAGCTGGAAATTATGACTAGAATATATGCATAAATAGCATTGCGAATTCAACGGCTTTAATTTTAAATTGAATATGCGCTAAATGGATTCAGTGTTAACTTTAAGTTAGTTCGAAATTCTTCGACAATTTGAGTGAAGTTTCAATTTAAGCGTATTTAGAATCAACTCTGATATACAACATATTTTTTATATTATGTTCTGCAGATAAATTTTATTATTTTAATGTCGACACATTCAGAATGCTTTGCCCAACACCTTTGGTGTGTTTAGAAATTTATGAAAAGACTGTTCTTCTCAACTAAGAGATCTTGACAAGAAACGGCTCCGGATGTTAGCCGTGTCACTCGACGGGTGAGCCCACTCGGGTTCTACCAGGGCCCCTGAATACGGAGATATCACATTAATCGAACCCCGTTGTACGGATTGAATTTTTAGTACTATTGAGCTTAAGTGTAACCTTGTACGGATCCAGGTTTTTGTACTAATAAACATATGTGATATCTTCCTATTATCACCGCGGAGGTTCCAATGAGTGTATTCAGGGGCCTTGTTCTACCCGGGTGGCATTTTTTAGACGGGTCCAATCACTAGTCGGGGAAGTGGTGAAGTATGGTTTCAGGGAAGTGGGTAATTATGTTGGGAATTGACTGTCGGGGAAGTGATTGTTTCGGAGAATGAGTGTGTTGGTAAAAGGGATTGTCGGAGAAAAATTTCAAGGAAACCTGTTAAAGAGTATATTGAACCTGAACAAGTTCATGAACTTTAGAACTAAACCTGAATTGAACTCTAGCATGCTCTAAAAGTTCGATGTCGAGCTGAACTCGAACTACTTTTTTAGCATAGGTTCAGTTCAGGTTCGGTTCAAAATTCGAGCTGCACCTGAACTTAACCTAAGTTCGGTTTCAGTTCGAGTTCATAGGAACACTATTGAGATCAAACTTAAAATTATCTCATTGTACTCTGGTTTATAAACATTTATAATAGCTTATAATCCAGAAGAAAAAGTAATTTAATAGGGGTGTATGAATATGAAATGTTTATTTCATTTAGCAAAAAAATACTATTTGTACGTATCAGAGTGTACAAATTTGGTCAAGAGTTATATAAACAAAGAAAACAGAAAATTTTGTAACTTAGTAAAAGAGTGCTATCAAAAATTGTCAGGTCATACATAATACGTATGCAATGAGGAGTATACCTCCAAGACGTGAACATTGAATAAGTTAGAGGGTAAAAAGATTTTTCATTGTGATCTTTGTAAATTAAGATTGATCAGGATATGCCACGCGCAACATTTGGTTGAACTATGTTGATAAACGTGTCTGCCTATTTTTGCAGACGTTGGGACTTGAACCAAAAAAGGATTCACATTTTAAGCAGAGTTTACAAACTATGTTATTCGCGTTGGATCTAATTTCAAGGGAACTAGCACTTGATAATACGTTTAAAAGTGACATTTTACGTCGTTTAAAATATGTATAATTTTAGTTATGCAATAATAATATAATCTCTCAAATGATATAAATAAATCATAAATACAATATATAATAAATAAATAAATCACGTAAAAAAACATGAAGTATATGTATCTATCTATCATGTTAAAGGAATATGTTCTTTTCTAACAATCCAAGGTTTAACTTCGTCAATATCTTCGTCTACCCCTTTTTTAGGTTTAATTAAATTTCCAGTTTTTTTGACATCATCAATTTCCCAACCTCTAATTTCAACAATAATTTCTTCGGGATTAACGGTTTCCCATGAATATACCATCATAGTAATTTGATTTTCTTCATCACCAAATTTTAATAATCCATCCATTAAATAATAATCATGTTGAGCACAATCACCATTCCCGTAATACCTTCCAATTAATGTATCATTTAAAAATATATAAGAAGTAAATGAACCATAAAGTACTAATCTTAAAGGAGCATTTAATATATCTTTAAATTTACTTTCTAAAGGATGAGAAAATCTAAAACTCCACCATTTTATTCCATCGTTAGGTATAACACCATAACCATTAATTCCTTTTTCACTTTCTTTCCAATCAAAATTTTTATGTTCATCAGGTATTCCACTAGTATTAAAAGGATTATCTAATTTACGTAAATCAACACCACAAATACTCCAATTTAATTTAGTTTCTTTAACTAATCCATCAATATTTGCCGAAATTATTCCTCTAGGATTTCTTACATCATTAAATATTACAGATTGTCGACTTATTCCCCAATTTTCTACTAAAATTACTAACGAATTTTTTTCTTCATCACCATTTGGATGAAGAAATTGAGTTATATCGTATTTTTCACCTCCTAAATATTTAAATAATTCAGGACCAAATTTTGATCCAGGAAAGAAAAGTTGTCTTGAATATGTTGTATGACCACCAACGAATCTACCATTAACAAATATAGTACATCTATGTCTCATGTTAATAGATAAATTTACTTTACTAGATGAATAATTACTCGAAAATCTAGCATTATATAAAATATGACCTGAAGCGTAATAATTTTCAATTGGACCACCATTCTTAAGATCAATTTTTCTCCAATCTAAATCATTAAAATCCGTAGTACGATATCTCCATCTTAATAACTTAGGTACCAAATGTACTTCAGAAGTTTTTTCACCAGCAGTAAATTGTTTTTTATAAACAAAAGGTAATGGATAAGTTGGATGAGATTGAAAACGAACGTGTTTTGAAGGTTCACGAGAAAATAAAATTGTTATATCATGTTCTTGATCACCATATTGAGTTTCCAACACGGAATTTAAAGGATCAAAATAAACATCTTGAGTTCCCCAAGTGACAAATAAAGGTGAATGATGAATAATATTAGTATTATTATTATTACTATTATTATTACTATTAGATTTTGTCCAATAAGAATCTTCAAATATTGCGTGAAGAGTACTTAAAGATTCGTTACGTAAAGCCAAAATATATAAATCTCCTTTAGAATCGGCATTTCTAATTCTTGCGAAACCTCCAACACCATTGAAAGATACAATATGAATAGCATGACCAACTTTTCTTATAGAAGAACCAAGATTTCCATCTATAGTGACTTCACCTTGAAAAGCCAATTCACCAACATCATTTACTGGAACTATCCAAATCTCATTTACTTGATTTTGAATTATTCTTAAATAAATAGGTAAAGTAGAAAAAATTAATTTAAGACCTGTTATTGTTATATAATTACCTAAAGCTATAAAAGAAGTTTTATATTGTAAAAAACAATTCATTGAAAATTTTTGTTCACGTCTTTGACCTTCCTTATATTTAACAAATACTTGAAATATAGGAAGTTTTTGATCGTTAAAATTACGAAAGAATGAGAATAAAACTTCATCACCACGTTTTACATTTTTCATCACTGATTGTCTTTGAAGATTGAAAACATTCTTTATAGAAGTTGAAATATTTGGATTTTTAACACGCTCAGTTTTAGTGAATAAATCTGAAAAACTTCTTATAAAATGAATTCCTAAACGTAATTCACGTATACGGGAAGACATATAACCGTATTCTCGAACACATGCAGAATAATCGTAAGATGTGTAGCCGTCACTAAAAAAAAATTAAATAATGTTAATACATCAATTATATACAGTATTTAGATTAGAGAATTAAAATAAATAACGAAATTTACAGATCGCCTAAGGTTCCCCAGTTTGTTCCGCCATATACCATATAGATTGATGCCATGGTACAACCCTGAGCTAGCACGGACTCGTACGCGGTACGCGTAAAAGCACCACCGTAATAATTATAGACATCATCAAAAGTATGTTGTAATTTATAAGTAGTGAACCAACCACCTTGAAGTTCCGGAATAAATATTGGAGTCTAAATTAAGGAAATATTTCGAGTTTAATATAGTAATAATTTTGAATATTTTGAATATTTTTGAATATATTAATAAGAATAATACGTTTGCAGCTTCAGGTCCATAACTACGTGTTGTTTTCTCAATTACGTCCAAAGCATTTGCTACATCTTTCGGTTTCCAAGGTTTCCATTTTTTTGGATCTTGAACTACGTTAAATGCCCATGGGGTCGGACTACTAGCGGGGACAAATACTATAATAATAATTTTGGAATTGATAAAAATATATTAGTCTAATACGACTTAGTGTAGTATAACATATAATCTAAAATAATTTAATTTAATAATTAAAAATACGTACCAAAGTATTTATCAAATCCATAAAGATCCAGACCAAAACTTCCACGATTAAGGAAATTAGACGAAGGTTTAATAATAAAAGAACCTACTTCATTTGGATCATTCGTAAATAGTGGTACATTAATTTCACAATCTCTAGCTACTTTACATAAGAACTTCATCTCATCGTGTAAACCGAAAGGAATATTTATAACCTTTTCAAATAATTCATTTTCAATTTGAACAGCAATAACACAACCACCTTGTTTTTCAGTTATTTGATGTTTAGCTATAATAGGAAGAATTTTCTCGAACCATTGTTTTTGATAAGCAGAAAATTCCGGATCATATTTTTTAAATCCAGTATATAACATATGACGTACTCTTTTAACTTTTTCTAAAACCCAGAAAGGAAAACCACCAGCTTGAGTTTCAGTACAAATATAAGGACCAGGAGCAGCAAGAACGTAAAGATTTAAATTTTCACATAAATTTAATAAATAATCAATATCTCTATTATCATCAAAATTATAAATTCCTTCATCAGGACTATGATAACCCCAATGAAAATAAAGTCGTACACAATTAAACCCTCCAGCTCGATATTTTTTTAAAATACTCTCCCAACGAGATTTATCCGGAATACGAAAATAATGAAATTCACCACTTATAATTAAAGTTGGTTTTTCATGAATGTAGAGGCAGTATTTATCAAAATTAAGAATATGACCATATTTATTTTTGTCAAAAGCACATTCATCATTGGTGATAGGTAAACTACCTTTACGAGATTTAAGAAGCCACACATAAAAAGCCACTAAACCGGCTGGAAGAACTGTTAAAAGAGCAGCAAGTTCCGGAATAACCATTGATTTTAAAAGAAAATGATTTGTTTTATTTTTTAGGAGAGAGAAGATCGATTAACAAATCTTGAAAACAATTTCGGCGCAAAATTTACTTAAATACTAAGTACACAAAAAACAAAAACAGAAATTGGAAAAAAAAATAAACCTTAACTATTATTGGTTAATAAATATTAATAATTGATTGGTTTAATGGTTAAAATCACCTGATTATTAATATCGAGTATATTTTCTGCCTTTGCTCTCTTCCTTCTCGAGATTTTTTGTTCATTATGTGATATCTGATAGATTGAATCGATCATTAATATACATAAATGTCAACTATAGTTAATTACTATATATAAAATAATCAATTAGTGCGTGTATATAGTGAGTTCATTATATACAAACAGCCCCATCAAGCAAAACCCGGAGAAAAATTCCCCGGGCGCCATTAAAATCTCTATCAATCACGACTCCACATTCATTACACCTGAACACCTTGCTTCCACCCAAGTTGTGTTTGATAAATCCACAGCAACTGAATAAAAACAATAAGGCATTAGAGGTAATAAATATCACACGTTATTCATTTAAGTTGAAATACAATCCGGCTTTGCCCAAGTTCGACTCTAAACTCAACCCAATTGACCCTTTCGGAGCACTAGTTTATTAGATTGAATTAAATATTTTTTTTGAGAACATGTTAAAGTAATAAAATGTTCTCAAATAAGAAAACTTTATTTTAAATATATCAATGTTAAAAAAATTGTATGTTCTTTAAGGACCATAGGATCAGTGAATTTTAAACACTGCTCGCACCTCACGTCTTCCTTTTTTTTTTAAAAGAAAAGTAACAGCGCGGAAAATCTAAAAATTGGTCAAATTGTCTTTAGACGTACAATATACTGTAGGAAGTTCAAGCTCTTATAAAAGAGTTGGTTTTATATAAAAAATATACGATTAGATAACTGCTGCGACGATGACCTGGATCATCGAATCCGACGTCGATCGTCGACCCGAACATTGGGGGCCGCCCTGATATACCGTAGTGCACGGATTCCCTTATGTCAAGAAAATCCCGGGCTAAGGATCTACAAAAATTAGGCTCGGAGCCAATAAAAATTGCAG